CTGTATGAGCTCACCAGTCTAAGCAAACTATATTTTAGGTATAGAAAGTTTAAGCATGAATTTTTTTTTTGAAAGTTGGTGTTGTAAATCATATATTCTTTGGCATGTGTATTCTCAAACATTTTACACTAATCTTTGTTGATGTTCACAAAGTCAAGTTGCTCTGAAGTGAATTCTCTATGACACAATTCCAAGAACACTCACCTGTCTACACGAAGCTGGCAGACAATGCTTAGTATATCCACAACACCTTCTTCTTTCAACTGTCGACAGCCAATGGTTGTAGCAATAAAACATCCTGTTCTACCTATTCCTGCACTGAAAAGGGAAAATAAAGAGGAAAAGAGTGGAGGAATGGTGATAAAGGTAAATCTATATTTTAAAAATGAATAATTTTAAAATAATTTTAAAGTTTTGAAATAATTTTAAAAGTAAAATTATAATCTTACATAATAACAATATAACCCCTCTCATGTATTGATGAATGTGAGTCAGACTCTGTGCCACATGCTTCAAGTATATTTCTGTCATTTAGTACATGAGCAGGAGTCCTGGGATTGTAATAATGATTAAGTCAACTGCTAGTCCAAAGTTTGGTGTTTTGAAATTACGTAGTAGTTTTGTGGAAGAAAGCCATAGAGATTTTCTTCCATTAAGGTTGCTGTTGTGTGCCTTCAAGTTGGAATGGGAGGAAAGTGCCCAAGCTTCTCTCCAGGAACTGCTGGTTGATTTGAATGACATGTCTTTGACATTACAACACTAGGCCACCAGAAGGTTACAGTCTAGTAAATTCCGAAGGAGCAGCTTTACTGTCTTACGTGGAGTTATTTTAAGTAGAAATCTTATGGCTTCTAACAACAGTAATAGGATAAGTGGGACAAGGAGAGGCAAGAGTAAAGTGAAAGGGCATCATAATTATCCCAGAAAGAATAATTAAGGCTTGATCTTGGGTGAAGCATGAGCAGAAGGGAAGAAAGGAAAGACAAAAGTTACCAAAAATTTGCATCTGTAGGACAGAGTTGAAGAGTAAAATTTAAAGTCAAAGATAGCAAAGTCTTGAGTACTGAAAGAGGGATGTTATTCCTGAGTTAAATGTTTGCAAGAGGATGTATGTAGAAACAAACTTTCAAGTTATACCTATAGAGGTGGTTATTTAATAGAAAATTCTCTATCCAGGAGGTTTTACAGTCATTTTGCTTTAAATAGTATATCCATAAACCCTACCTAATAAGCCTGTCTTTTTTCTTTTTTTCTGAGCAATTTCAACCATTCTATCTTTATGTAAATCTCTCAAATTTACATATACATTCCCAAAGTGTCTCCTAAGCTCTAGATTAGCATTTCAGATTCTAGTAGGTGCTCTTGATGTTCTGCATTTATGTCAAGTCAATGTACCTAAATTCAATATTATCTAAAACAAAATTATTATCTTTTCCCTGAATGGCATTACCAGCCAGCCACAACTTTCCAGCCTAGCAATCTTGGAGCCATCTTTATCATCTTCCCCCTCTCTCACCTCCTACATCAAATCTGTTACCAATTATTATATTTTCCACCTCCACTGAGCCTTTGGTGTCCATGCTTTCCTTTCTATAGACTGTGCTCATATTATCAGCAGCTGCTTATTTTATTATTAAATTCTAGCAGTGAGATTATTATGGTTTCCAAGACTCAAGGTTTTGCCTGAACTAATTCAGCATACATACAGCTGCAGGGCTCATCTTTCTAAAATAGCTCTTTCTCATTGCTGCTGGGTCAGAAGCAACTCACAGCTGATACTCTAGTAGGTTTCCAAGATTGTAGACTACATGGGAGTAGATTATCCATTTTTCTAAAAAACAAAAACAAAAAAAACACAAACCAAAAAAAATCCCACCAAAAAACCCTGGTGGATTCAGCCAGCCAGAGAGGTGCAGCCTTTGGCTTAGCAGTTTAACACCCTATGGATTAGGCCATCAGAGCTTTCTAATACTATTAATCCCTATTACAAATTGTCCATGGCTCCCCTAAGTTATAGAATAATGTCTAAGTTTCCTACCAAGGTAATCATGGCCGTATATAACATAACTAACTTTGTAGTTTTATATCCTCCTGCAATTTTACATTTATTTTTTTCTTATACAAGTTGTTACAAAAAAATTGCCTTTCATTTTTCAATTTCTTGTGGCTTGGTGGGGAAGGTATTGCATTGCCAACCCTAAGGCAGAGAGTTTGAATCCATAAACTGCTCCAAGGCATTCTCCTATCTTCTTCCAGATTCACTGCTTCTGAAACCTACTGGTAGGTCAGCTTTGAGTCAGTTCTGACCCAACAACAGTGACTTGAGTTGAATGATGATGAATGAATGATGAACATTGAGTTAATGATGCTTCCTTGCTAATAAATATCCTCCTCTCACTTATCAAAACCTCAAACACTAGTCATTTTTTTAAGACTTCAATTTATACATTCCAATTTTGCAGTGCTTTCTTTAATTATCATGATTGGAAGTAGTAACTCTCCTTTTAGAAATCAAATAACACATATTTTTCATAGTTGGCCTTTATTTCATGTTGAGGGTGAGTGCTAGAGAAATTGAGAAAAACAACTGGTGGATTCAGTTGTCAAGAAACAGCATTTGAATTGTACTCTACTAATGACAGAAATCAGTTATCATGACTGAGGGAGAATGCTCCATGCAGGGAGATGGTATAAGGAAAGAATAAATACGTAACAGGCAATATGTTGTATAACAATGAGTAGATAACCTTGGCTTGATGAGAAAGTTATTTTATAGAAATAGTTGGAACTAAGACAGAGAAAGTATATTGGGTTGTTGTAAATGCCAGTGAGTTTATTTCAACTCATAGCAACCCCCTGTGTTGCCACGTTCCACAGAGTTTTCAAGACTGTGTGACCTTTCAAAGCAGATGACCACGTCTATATTCCAAGATGTCTGTGGATGAGTGTGGCAATCTTTTTGTTAGTAGTGGGACCCTTAACCATTTGTGCTACCCAGACTACCCTGGGCCTATGAAGGATCTTACATAGTTAAGAGGTTTGAGTTCAGCCTCTAACTCAGTCATGCTTTTTTATCCTTTTGAGAAGGGAAATGACAGAACATCACATAAGTTTATGTACTTAAAATTTGTTTCAAAAATTTCAAGGGGTTCACTGAGTTGATTCATTAAGCCCCAATTTAAGAACATTTGCTGTAGGCAATGGGAAGTCCTTGAGAAGTTTTGTGCAAGACTTCACATGATGGAAAAGGATTTTGCATCAATATCAACAAAGAGCTGTTCACAAGGTAAGGTACATTAGGATGTGGTAATTAGTAGACAATGTCTAAAAACAAAGATGAGGTCATAAGGGCCTGAACTAGGATAGCTGGCCAGGAAGTGATTATAGGAGAAGCTTTGAAGGGAAAGACAATCTGGTGACTGATTAGATACAGAGGATGGACATGAGAGAATGGCCAAAGATAACTGTTAACATTGAATGTCCCAGGGATTGGGGAAAAAAAGGATCTTTCCACTCTTAGAAACAGTAATAAAAAGGATAACAGGATTTACACTGGAAATAGCTAGTTGGTTTTAGATATCCTGAATGTTTTTATGATTTTGGGTGGGGAACAATTACAATTCTAAAATATGGTCCAATTAATTTGCTATTCCTCAACTCCAAGCTACATGTATAGGACAAGACCTTCCTGAAAACTGGGTAATGACTTCTTTAGGTAAATGAATATAGAGAAAACTTTACTCTTAATTAATCCATAAAGTTAAAAAAAAGATGGAGATTTACTGTAATTTAGAATAAAGTACTTTAAAAAAGTATATTAACCACAACAAGATAAAGGTCAATAACCCAATTGAAAAATGAACACAAGATATGAACAGACACTTCACCAAAGAAGACATTCAGATAGCAAACAAACACATGAAGAAATGTTCAAAATCCCTAGCTGTTAGATGCAAATCAAAACAACTATGAGATATCATCTCACCCAGTAAGAATAGCAAAATTTAACAAAATAGCAAACATCAAATGCTGGTGAGGTTGCTGAGAAACTGGAACCCTTATTCACTGTTGGTGGAAGTGTAAAATGGTGCAGTCATTACGGAAAACTCTATGGCGCTTTCTCAAAAAGTTGCAAATAGAAATAACATTTGACCCAGCAATTCCACTACTGGGAATATACCCCAAAGAGACCATAACTGCCACCCAAGCAGATATATGCACACCCATGTTTACTGTGGCTTTGTTCACAACAGCAAAGAGTTGAAAAAAAACCAAGTGCTCATCAACAAATGAATGGATAGAGAAGCTCTGGTATACAAGGAACCTTTTTTTTTTTTTTACCAAATTTGACTTAATAATGAAATATTCAATCCAAGTACAGTTCTGGTACCATCTTGAAACAATTAAAAAAAAATACTGATTATTTTAAAGAACCTATTCTTAGTGTACATAAGGTTTATGAGGATAAATAGATAAAGACAAATTTCAAGGTAGACTACTAAGCTTTCTTATAATTATCATCTTAGTCATTTCTCGAATATTATGAAGTTAACTAATTTGAAGAAATATTGAATTTATTAATAAGGTTGCATGTAAGAAGTAATGCTCTGACTTTACAAAGAACAAACAGTTCTTAGGCATAAACCTTACCTGCAGTGGACAACAACAGGCCCTCGACCCACAGAAGCAAGTCTGTCTTCTTCTACATCCAGCATGAGCTGTAGAAGAGGTTGGGCACTGTCGGGAGTCTTGTGATCAGGCCATGAGGTGTACCAGTAGTGCTTCACATGCTGGGTATGACTTCCTTGCTGAAAATAGCAAAAGCCACCAAATATCTCACTTTGATGTCAAACTAAAAGTTACTCAAACCAAAAGAATGAATGCCCTCTCCCACTCCCAACTTGATGGCAACTTATTTCTAGGAGGAAAAAAAAAGTGGGTTTTTTTGGCAACAAAAGATTTATGAAGAATGCCTTTTCACCCTGAGAAAGCTTTACTATGTACATACTTTTCTCAAAATTTGACCATCTCACCTTTACTAACTGACATTTACACTATGAATGGACTATACAAAACAGATGCAAAATGTATATTTACAAACAATTATGATGATCAAGATAGAAGATGAAAATATATCCAAGAAAAAAAACACTGGGTATTATGTTTCTTTCTCTAGTAATGTTACTGTACAGTAAATAAAAAATTTGTTATTTGTTATTTATACAATGTTACTGTAGCATGTTTATGGTAAACATGCTCTGTTGGTCTAGTGGTAAGAAGCTGTGCTGTAATCCCAAAGGCATGTGGTTCAAATCTATCAGCTGCTCCATGGGAGAAAGATGAGCAGTCTCCTCCCTTGAGATTAGCTGACTCTGAAAACCCACTGGAGGGTCAGCTATTGGTTGATTCTGACTTGATGGTGCATAACACCGCCAGTATCAGCTCCCTGGTGTTTCTGGGTGGATTTGAATCACTAATATTTTGGTTAGCAGTCAAACTTGCTAATCATTTGCATCACTTGAAGAGTCCAGTTAACATGTTCAACTCTTAACAAGAAGAAAGGCCAGATGATCCACTTTGGTAAAATCAGCCATTGAACAGTTCTCCTCTGATATACATAGGATCACCATGAGTTGGCCTCAACTCAGTGGTAACTGGCATTGCCATGGAATCAAAAACTGAATCGTAACTGACCTTGCAGCGGGTTTTCCATGGCTGTCATTTACATGGGAGGAAATTCTCCCACATCTTTCTCCCTGGGAGCAGCTGGTGGATTCAAATTGCTTGTCTTTGAGTTGGCAGCACAACTTCTTACCTAGAAGGTCACTAGGGCTCCCTAATCAATATAAGAACACTTAAATTCTTAATTGCTATTAAGTCATTCTCATACCTCTCCACTCATCCAAAATTATATTATTTAATAGTAAAGAGTAATCTAACAATAAAGGTTGATGGATTGCAAATGCCTTGACCTTTGGGTACACAGGCACCATCCTTGCAACTCAGTGTCTGGGTGGGGACTTCACTTGACATATACTAGTCACTGAGGATGTGTGTTGAAGACAGTTTTCCATAAATTCTTTCCTATCTAGCGCTTCTCTATAAAAGCTCTCACTGCTGCTCTGTTCCACCCTCTTCCTTTTTAAGATGATTTATGTCCCCATAGTGAAGCTCTAGATAGTGAAGGACTAGAATCTTTGAGATAATCATCCTTTAGAGGAAAAAAATAATGCCATGGAAACTTTCCTACAATAAATTAAAAAGAACAATTTTCCTATGACACAATCTTGTCTGGGGAAAATCCCTATAAATTACTGTAACTCCAAGTTTCTGAAGATCTCATCAACACTTCAGGCTTGTCTTGACTCCCACAGCCACCCACAAGTGCAGATTTTCTCTTTTATAGTTTCCAGACCTTACTTAGAGCTACATAGACCAAAGTGACATTTTAAAAAAAGAAGTCATTGTAAATTCTCTTTAGTACAAGCCTTTAGTTAAAGGCTTGTCAAAGGTTCAATCAGGGATGTGCTAATTATTCAAATTTTAAGTTCATAACATCTTATATAATGAATTTCCTTAATATCTACTTAGAGTAATTATTGCATACACTTTAGTAACTAACAGCTAAGAAATACAATAAAGAATAATTATAATTACAGTTTCTTTTGATCTTGATTTTAATTTCTTTAAACTGAGTCTATAGTATTTAAGAGGATAAATAATGTTAAAGGAGAAATAGTTTACTGTATCATCATCTACTTGGTAGATAGGCATAGCTTCATAATCTTACCTTTAAAACCAGGTTTCGAACTGTGTAGTTATCACATTCTTTCACACTGATAACGAGGACCTCAACTTTCCCATAGATGCCTCTCTTTTCAGGCCAGTACAGCACACATTTCTGGAGAAGTAGGAAAAAAATGCAGAAACCATTAATGATTTTCATTAGCCTCAGAGTAGTGTCTTTAAACTAAGCATCTTAGCATTTCACTGAGCATCTTAAAGACGACTTTCAATTAATTTTTAAACACCAAATACCAAGTTTCATAATTATATGGATATGCTAAAACTGATGAACTGTGCATCGTAAGTGAATGAATTATATCTCAATGCTAAATCATATTTCACTCAAGGTATTTTTTTAAAATTACACATTTTTTAACATATTTTCCAATCACTAGGTTGGCAGAGGATAGAGCAGCGTTTACGGCTCTTGTACAGTGTTGCTCTGAGTCGCAAGTGACTCGATGGCACATAACAATGACTGCCACAAGCCCAGAGGTGACCCTGGCCCTCTGAGGATGACTATTGTGAGGGAAATTCTAACACTGCCCACAGGCTACTTCACTTCCCTCCACCTCCCAAAGAGGAAGATGCTGCCTCTCCCTTCCTACTCTCCACCACCTCCATCCACCCAAGGTGCCTTCCTCTCCTGATAACCATGTAGCCACTGGCCATGGCCTCGCTGCTGCTCCTTCCTTTCTCCCAGGCCTGACCCCTGATGTGGCCCAGGTCGTGGCCTGGGACGTGTGCTCATGGGGGTGGCCCATCAGGCTCTCCTCTCCTGAGGATTTTGGCGACACAGCCAGGCAATGATCAAGGCTGGGGTATTCTCAGTTGTGGTGAGCTCAGGGCCTCCTTTCAACATCAGCAAGACCTCTCCAAGTCTAGAACCTCTCTTTTGGAAAAGGGTGGGGCTGATCTGTAATTTGCCTGAGAGAAGACAAAGTCTGATGACTTTCAAGGTTGTTGTTTTTGTGTATTGTCGAGTCAGAAGCTGACCCTTCAGTGAGTTTTCAGAGGCAGTAAATTGCAAAGGAGGAGACCGCCCATCTTTCTCCCATGGAGCAGCTGGTGGACTCAAACCATGTACCTTTGCATTGGCAGCACCATTCCTTATCACCAAGCCACCAGAGCCCCCGACTTTGTGAGTTGCTGTCATGTGCTGTTGAGTCAGAACCGACCCATGGCTGACCCTCCAGCAGGTTTTCAGAGGCAGGAAGTCACACTGGAGGAGACTGCCCATCCTTCCCCACAGAGCAACGGGGCCTCCCTGAGACAGAAGTGAAGTGGGACAGGAGACCCTGTGCAGAGATCTGGGGTCAGAGATGGTCTCAGCCTGAAGTGGAAGCTGTCCCAGCCACCTGAGCAGTCCACGTAGTAGCTCACTTTGCTGTTTTGTTGTCAGTAGCCATCAAGATGACTATGACACATAACGACACTGAAGAACAGATCTGAACCTTCTGTCCTGTGCCATCCTCATGATGTGCTGGAGCCCAGTGTTACAGCCACTGTGGCTTTAGAGGCTGGGAAATAGGGGTGGGAGGTAGAGTCCTTGCTTCCTGAAACCCCCTCTGCTCCCCGATAGCCTTTGTGTCTCCTGGTGTAGGGTGTGTATGTTGGGATCGTGGAGGGCACCTGGTGAAGAACTAATCTAGGTACTTGAGTTGCTTTGCAGTCTCTTGCTGGAGAACCAGAAATTGGGAAACAAGGTCCTGTGTTGCCTTTGCAGAAGGGTGATCTCCCCTGGAAAGTGAATTTTAACTCATGGCTTTTGACATTGTCACTAATAATAAGCTCAGTTATTAATAAAAAAAACAAACAAACAAACAAAAAAAAATAACAACAACAACAATTGCTGCTAACCTTATTTTGTAAAAGCAATTAAGGGAAAATTTCTTAAAACTCCAGAGAAGATCCAAATATTTGGTTCATAGTGTATCACGTGACAACTAGAAAGAAAAGGTACGCTGTACCACACTGGTTGAGGCAAGTCACATGTTCCTGCTTCACCAAACCAAACTGCCTAGTAAGAGTGGCACTAGTGTGTTAGATGCCATAGACTGAGGTTTCTTTTGGGTATAAAGCATATCCAATGAATATTACTTTTATGGTATTTTACTTTTCAGATCTAATGATTTCTTCCCTATGGAGTCCACTGAAATAAATATATTAGTATAGTTACTCTAAAAATTTTTTTATAATGGATCTTCTTTGAAAGACTTGATAAAAGCAATAATAATAATAATAATAATAATAATAATAATAATAATATTGCAGGCAAACCAATATAATATAGCAGTTAGGGTGCAGACTTGAGAGGAAGAAAATCTTGGCCCAAACTTAGTAGCTGTGAGAGTGTGAGTAAGGTACTTAACCTCCCTGGGCATTAGTTTCCAAATAATTTAATACATGAAAAATTAATAAAGCCAGGCACATAGTATACACTAAAAACAGGCTATTACTATTATATTTATACAAACATTTTATGCTTTTTATTTTTACCTAGAGTGATTAAACTTTCATACATCAAGTATTATTTGCTATTATATCAAAGGCACATCATTAAATGAAAACCACATAACAAGATTCAGGCACAGATATAAGCTCATGTTATTTATTATTTTACCTTTTAAATAACTGAAAAGCAACTATGATGGGTTTTGTTGTGGGTTTTTTTTTAACCACATATTTTAATGGTTAAGAATATAGAGAGCAAAAATGAGTGTTTTACCTGGGGTACAAACAAAGCAATTTTAATTTAGAAATATCTTTTAAATAACACTAGACACACACACACACACATTCATATGGATCTTTGTCTTCACTTGGGATAGTTTAATACCAAAAGGCTTGTTTTTTTCATATCTATATTAAATGCATACAAACTACAGTTTTTAAAAGAGATTTAAAAAGAGCAGCAAAACAGGCATAGCGTGACAGAGTTAAAGGAGAAGACAGATAAAGTATCAGACACACACCTTCGGCAAAGAAGGACCAAATACTACACATGCTAAAATCACTTTACCTAGTGGAATCACTGCTTCCTTCATCCCTATAATAAAAGCTTGTTGCATCTTGCATGTTTTCTTCCTTTTCCAAAGTAAATTGTTTCAGCTCTATTTGCATGCCACCTCACATCCCAGCCTGTCAGGCAGGCAGGCAAAAGGCTTAATTCTGTCTGACATCCTGGAAGACTGAAAGACCTTTTTAAAACAGTTACCCACTTCCCTTCACATTTAGCCAAGTGTCTAAAATCTGCCGGTTTGTTAAAGGTACTCATAGAAACCAATTGTCTTGGTTTCTTTCAAAAGAGTGCCAATTATTTTGCAGCAAGACTCAGGCTACTGTGTATCTTAAAATCTGTATCTTCTGGAGAAGCCCAAGAAGAAGGGCAGAGAATCTTGAAAAAAGTGGTGTGACAGAGAAAGAGGCACTCAGCTGTCCAGGAGCCTGGAATACGCACCCCATCCTCCGGGATCCTACCTGAGCAGTGGGCCCCTCTTTACGAAGGTGGTTCTCAAGATAGAAAGAACAAAACAAAATGAAACAAAAACCACCAATAACCACTGGGAAGCTGGAGTTCCCATCCCTGCACTCGGATTCTTAACAATACCCCAGCAACCTATGCTACCTACTCACTGAATGGAAGAGCTGTCTGCTTCTCTCTGGAGCTTGCTGCGGCCCTTTTGAATGTTTTTCTTGACTCGTTACCAAAAAAGCAATTGGCAGCCAACTCTCTGTAGACAATGCAGTGTGACTTGCTCATTCAAACAACCTTTAATTAACATCCCTTCTCCTTTCCAAGATACAATAGCTTATTTTTATGGACTGGATACACCTCCGTCACCCCTTTTTTAGGAGAAAGTAGGAAAAGAGAACAGATAAGTGTGGGTGCTTTTGAATATGAGGTGAGGGAGAGCTGCAGATGTAGTTGTCTCTGAGAGCACAAGTTCACATTTGAATTATTTCCTTGAAGAGCTTTTTGGAGTTTCTTTATTGTGGTGCTAACAATGGTATGAAAGAGGCAGAAAATGCAAGGAAGGAAAACCTTGGCTGACAGATAATATTGTGAAACCATCCAAACTGCAGGGAATTCAAAACAGTTTAGCAGCACATAACCTCCCAATCATCACTCTTCTGCAAGCTAAGCTGAATAAAATTAACTACGAAATCTAAGAAGTTATAATTTGGAAGAAAAAGATATCTTCAGGGGATCTTGTGTCTTGTTTGCAAACAATTAGCCATTTCTGTCCAAAAGACCTGGGAAGTAACTAGTTCTTTGTAATCAGGGTTTTATAACAGGGTATAAAATATTAATATGTTGTTGTGCTGTTGAGTCGCTTACAACTCATAGTGACCTATGAGCACAACAGCCCTTAAACCCTGCTCTATGCTATGTCAATCTCATTGTCTCCGACACATCTACCACCATTACCCCAGTCACATCTCATCATGGGTCTTCCTCTCCTGTGTTGTCCCTCCACCCTTCCAAGAATGATGTCCCTCTCCTAGGACTGGTCCATCCTTACAACATGTACAAAGTATGTCAGATGAAGCTTCAGAATTCTTGTCTCCAAGGAGCAACTTGGTCTCTCCCTGTGTAGGATGAACCTGTTTGTTCTCCTGGCAGTCCACGGTATATTCAACACTCTTCTCCAGCACCACAGCTCAAAGGCATCAATTCTCCTATCATCCCTAGTCATTGTCCAGACTATGGCCTGGGTCAGGTGTACCTTAGTTTCTAGACTGACATTGTTGCTCTTCATAACTTTGGAGAGGTCCCTTCTAGATTTTCCCAATGCAATTAGTTTTTTATTTCCTGGCTGCTGGAACCAGGAGTGTTGATTGTGGAGCCAAGCAAACTAAAGCAGTTAATAATCTCTTTACTGTCTATCATGATGCTGCCAATAAGCCCAATGGTAAGAATCTTTGTTTCCTTGATGTTCAGCTTCAATTCATATTTAAGCCTGTAGTCCTTGACCTTCTACAGCAAGTGCTTCAGGTCCTTCTCAGTTTCAGCAAGCAGGATTGTATCATCTGCATAATACAGGTTGTTGATGAGTCTTCCTCCAATCCTGATACCACATTCCTCCTCTTGGAGAGACCAGCCTCCCAGAT